AGGAATCAAAGAGAGAGAGAGAGAGAGAGAGAGATTGAAAGAAAGCAACCGATTATTACCGGAAGGAACTCATTAACGCGCGATCCAATTAAATCGTATCGTCGTTAATAACGAGAAGTGGCCTGAGGTATGGTACGAATCTTTTTAAACGAAAAATATTATTTTATATAAGCAAAATTGCAAATCGCTCATCGATATCTCGAACGTTGCCGATTTTTTTTTTTTTTTTTTTCTATGAATTGTTCGATATGAAGAAGAAAGCGAAAGAGAAAGGGATAGAGATAGAAAGAGAGAACAAAAGTGTGCAACTGAAAAAATATCACTCGTCGTTTTCACATCGCGCGGTTATATATTTTTTTTTTTTCTTTTTTTTTTTTTTTTAGAAGGGAATTGTTAGAAAGACCAAAAGAGAATTAAAAAAAAAAAAAGAAAAAAAAAAGGAAAAAAAAAAGGAAATAACATACCGTTTTAATTCGTTGGTCGACGTGGTATCGATCGGAATTTTTTCCTACGACATAGAAACGAGCTATAAATATAAATAAAATGATTGGTCGAATTAAATTATTAGCGAGATGTAAAATTTATCGCGACTTTTCATCGAATAGGACAAAAATAAAAAATATACCAAAAAAGAAAGAAAAAGAAAAAAAAAAAGAAATAAAAAAAATATAAATACATTTACCATATAAGAAAAATACATTTACCGTTGTCAGAGTTCTCCGAGAGAAATAGAAGAAAAAAGAATAAAATAATATAAAAAAGAATATATATATATATATATATATATATATATATAAAACGAAAAAAAAAACGAAAAACAAGAAAAGAACAACTCGTCGACGAGAGGGGAGAGGAGAGGAGCAATCGAAGCGAATTCGTGCCAAGCTTTACGATTAATTACCTTCTAAGTCGAGTACCCTTCTTCCCACCCATCCTCCTTCCTTTTCGAATGTAGTAGAGTCACGTGGCGTGATTGACATTCGCGCGAGCAAAACTTAACATACGACATAGTAATTCGTACGAAATAGTGAGAGCAATTCATTTTGAAGTGATCGATACACGAAAGATACTCACAATACATACGCAATTCGCTTTTTTGTGTGTCGAAGGTCGACATTTTTCTTCCCTTTTCCCACTTAAAATACGTGTCCCAACACGGCACCTCTCGTATTTCAACGATAATTTACTACTCGAAAAGGACGACTCTCTCTCTCTCTCTCTCTCTCTCTCTCTCACACACACACTCTCTTTCTCTTTCTCTTTCTCTCTCTTTCCCTTGTTTTCTCTTTCTCTCTTTTCTATCCCTAAGGTACCGTATTTCGACTTCGATGACTTCGCTCGACCTCATTTATACATCTCGCACAGTGCTGCTTATACACACACGCGTGCACTCGCATGAATACACACACACACACACGCACACACACGCACGCACACATACACACACGTTCACGCGAAAGGGCTACGGAGGATGACGTCTTGCCTCGTGAATTCAGATTGCTTAGGTCGTCGTACGAAAGAGAAAAGTCGCCTTGAGGGTCGTCCTCGAAATTCGTGTTCTATCGATCGTGATTTTCTTGGTAAATGAGAATAAGAGATAAGACAAAGAATAGAATCCATTTATTTCTATATAGAAACAATATAGAATAGAAAGCAAGATATATAAATAAGGATAATAATAAAAGAAATAATTAAATAATATATATATATATATATATATATATATATATATATATATATATAAATATTTAATAGATATATCAACGAAGAAATTATAAATGAATAACGAGTATGAATCCTATATATATATATTAAATTAAGCAATTATTGTATATTCATATATTAATATATATCGTTGAGTTTATTTAAAAAACAAAAACAAAAAAAAAGAGGAAAAAAAATGGAGATATAGATTTTGATGAAACGAAGTCGATCATATATAATTTTTTGGAATGAGAAAATAATTTAGTTAAGTCTTGATTTTGTCGATAAAATTCATTTATGGAATTAGATAATCGAATGAAATGTGAATATTTTCTTCCTTTCTTTTTTTTTTCTTTTTTTTTTTTCCATAGAACGCAGTTGGCGAACTTCGCAATTCGCCGGTACGATATTCACCGAATTTCATATGTGACCGTCTTAGCGAAAGGTCAATGAACTTTACTAATGCACTTCTACGATATTCGTCGAATTTCATATGGCTTTCTTAATACTGAAATATAAATCCATATAATATAGCGCGCTAGTACTCAATCATGAAGAAAAATAACGATAGTTATTCCGACAATATGACACCTATTATATGAAAAATTTGTTATACCTCTTAAATACTTTTAAAAACCGAGCGAGGGATGTTCATGGTATATAATTAGAAAATTTATTCATTCTTAACCTTTGCATTATTAATTTCTACATAGATAAGACAGCTAGGTATATAAAGTTTGGCGAATCTCGTTTATCTATCGTTAAGATAACTATATAAAATTCGATGAATATTATACCAAGAAACATACTAACTTCGGTACATTGTGATAAAATTATTTATACTTTTTTTTTCTGTTTATTTGAGTATTATCAAATGAATTCTCTTAAAATAGAAACCTAATTAAATCTATTTCTATCAATTGAAAACGATAAATGTATCAAAATACGTTTTGAACTTTTACAAAAATAAAATTGACAAATATATGAAAAGAATTATTTGTTTAATATAGGATTTTGTTTTTATAACGTAGAATACAATGTCTATTATTACAAAATGGCATTTATTTATGAATCAATCGGATACGATAAATCGTCAAATACTTATGGCATTGTACGAATCAACGTTGTTATATAGACCAATACGAATATAAAATTATATTTATTTGCATTTGGATAAATAAATATTTAAGAAAGATCTAACGATTTATTATAAAAATATATAAATTTCTAATTATCTTGAAATTTATCTTTACGTAACAGTAGTCATAGTCGAATAGAAGAAAAGAAAAGAAAAGAAAAAGGAAAAAAAAGAAAAAGAAAATACAAAAACGAAATTGTTACAGAACAAATTAAACAAAATTCAAAAGTTAAACGAACAATTTATGTAGAAATAAAATCTCTCGTTCTTTTATTTTTTTTTCTTTTTTTCTTTTTAAATTGCAAAGACATTTAAGACGATCAAGTTACATATGATATCGGTATAACTTTGTAAAACAAATCACAGTTTTCTCGTTGTTCAATATCAATTTTGTTCGAATAAAAGAGAATTTTATTATATATCTTATCACTGACATATATATATATATATATATTTTTTTTTTTTATTAAATTTTTCATCTTATAATAATTAACTATCTCAGTTAAGAAAAAGTAGCCGCGAGATAAGAGTATATAATAATTGTTGTCATTTGAGAAAAAGAGATACGAAATAGAAGAAACAGAGAGAACTTAAAGACAGAGAAAGACAGAGACATTCAAGAGAAAGACAGAGAGGGAGATAGAGAAAGAAAGAGAGAGAGAGAGAGAGAGAGAGAGAGAGAGAGAGAGAGAGATAGAGAGATAGACAGATAGACAGATAGACATAGATGATTCTCACAAGCAGAATACATCGCGCTGACATCGGGCATTGGTCCGTAAATGACGTGTATGCGATTTCCGTGAATGTAACGTCGAGATTTATAGATCTCATGTCAATGGCACAACACAACATAACCGAGGTTCTATCGACATATTGCGCTACTACTACTCGCAATGGGGATGCGTCGAGTCAGCTCGTCTCTCAAGGCCTTCGGGATGATAGCAACAGCGACAGATCGAGAGGATGGAAGCTTATCGATGCCTTGTCAAACGTTGATCACAACGGCCGTGTTAGCACGGATTAACATTCATATCGCGGTTATTCGTTACACCTCGAGGCTATTTGTTGATGATGAACACTTTCGATCATCTGCCAGATTTCGTTACAGTTGCCAATATTTAATCTATCCAATGTCGCTGTTATTATTCGCTCGAAGTTATGCGTTTGGTATTTCTATGGATACAATCAATGATATATCATTGACAAATAATATTTAACGTCTTCCCGTGTAATTATCTATTCGTTTTCTTTTCCTTTTGTTTTTTCTTTTTTCTTTTCTTTTTTTCTTTTCTTTCTTTTTTTTTTCCTTTGTTTTTTTTTTTTGAAAGGGGAAAGGAGATAATGATCACGCGCATTGTACGACGATCAAAACGAAGATCCCTTCTTTTTTTTCTTCTTCTTCTTTTTCAATTTGTCAAATTTATTATCAAAAAAAAAAAAAAAAGAAAAAAGAAAAAAAGATTGTAAAAACGTATATAACCGTAAAGTTATATCCCTATATGTGATATAGATTTGATCATTTTAATCGATCACAACGATTAATTAATCAATTAATTAATTCATTCATTCATAGAAAATTAATGGTCATTCGAAATTAATCCTTTTTAAGTATATAACACATTATTATAAATATGTATAGTTTTGTAATGATAGAATTGTTTTTGTTTATTTCTTTTTTTTTGTTTTTCTTTCTTTCTTTCTTTCTTTTTTTTCTCTTAACAAGGACAAAAATTTCCTTCGAATTGTTGTTCCTTATGGAAAAAGCATACGTAATCAATGTAATTTTTTCATTGTCCATACCGAAGTGTAATTTAATGTCGTCGTACTAATGGACAAAAAAAAGGAAGAGGAAAAAGGATAGGAAAGAAAAGAAGAAAAAAGAAAAAAGAAAAAAGAAAAAAAGAAACGTTTCTTTTTCGAAGTCAAGCAAAATCGTCGAATGAGAGCGTTGGACGGTCACGTTCGTTTCTAACGGTCCTTGAGAAAATCTCGCGGCGGGCCATATTGAAAGACGCGCGAAACGTGCGAGGAACGTTGAATCACAACGTACACGTTCTTTTTACGTGTACGTCTTCTAACACGTATCATAGATGCATAGAAAAGTGAGAAAAGTAATGCTTTAATAGTAATAGAGAAGGAAGATGGTCATTTTATTTACCTGTCGAGAGCGCGAAGGCGTAGATTCAACGTTGCGTCCTTTGACCGACCGGAAGTCGAAGTGTCACGACGATTTCTTCCTCGATGTTCCCTCAGTGCCGCAATATCGTACCACGCTGGACTATAATGTCTGATGTAACTGTCTCTGGTTATACTGGCTGAAAGTAAAAAAAAAAAAAAAATAAAGATTTATTCTATTAAATAAAGACGAATTAAATCGAACGATATTAAATGATATTTTAGAAAAAAATCGAATGATAAAAATATTCATTTGATATACAAATATATTCCTTCAAATGTCCTTCTTCTTTTTTTTTCTTTTTTTTTTCCTTTTTTTTTTCCTTTTTCTTCTCTCTCTCTCTTCCTTTTCTTTTCCATCTTCTTAACTGTATATATATATATATATATATTTTTTTTTTATATTTATTTCTTTTTATTTTTGGCTTAGAAAGGATATTCAACGAATTTCTCATTTTACTTTTATCGATGAATTTTAATAATTACGATCTATTATCGTTGATCGTAATTCAACAAATCGTATATGATAATATTTTATGATAACAAATGGAAGAAATGAGTTGAATAAAATTAAGATTATAATAATCAAAGGAAGATGAAAGATATGAGACAAGTAAGAGACAGAGACAGAAAGAGAGGGAGAGAGACAGAGACAGAGAGAGAGAGAGAGAGAGAGAGAGAAAAAGGGAATATCCAAGGAGATGAATTGGTAGGGTTCGACTAAGAAGAGAAAGAAAAGAGGAATGAGAGAATGAAGAGGAGGAGGAGGAAGAGGAGTAGGAGTAGGAGTAAGAGTAGGAACAGGAGGCTCGATATCGGTGGGAATCTGAAAGCGGAGATATAAATGCAAACTGTCGTCGGCGTAATTTACTTTTATTATCCGATAAATTCGAGAATCTTTACTTGGTGAGAAAAGGAAAGGAAGAGGAAAGGAAGAGGAAAGCAGAAGAACGACGATGGTGGCTGCGATTACGAGAGAAGGCCAATCTTCATATGCAAATCCGGCATAAGCGTAACGACTCTTCCATCGTGCTGTTGGTGGCGCTGGTGATGACAACATACCAGAAGCCAGCACCAGCAGCACCAGCACCAGAAGCAGCAGCAGCAGCAGTAGCAGCAGCAGCAGCAGCAGCAGCATCTCCAACGCTACCACCACCACCACCATCACCACCACCATTATCACCAACAACACCAACAACCTTACGGATGTTCCAAACGCGTTATCGCCTTGATAACAATTTTATTACACTTTGAGATCTCTCGTTCTAAAAAGGAACCGAAGCTTATTTCCCTTTTTTTCTTACCCTCCCTCCCCTATATTTCCCTTTCTAAAACTTCACAGACAATTTTTCAAAGTCACTCAAGAGCCGTAGATGTTCTTGCCGTGTCACAGATAAGACACGTTACCTTTCTAACCTTCTCTCTTCTTCGACTTTTCTTATTTCCCTCTCCCCCGCCCTTCCCCACCGTTCTCCCCATAGAACGTGTATTTTTATGTGGGTATATGTATATGAATGAGAAAGAGAAAGAAAGAAACAAAGAAAGAGAGAGAGAGAGAGAGAGAGAGAGAGAGAGAGAGAGAGAGTATGTGTACGTGAGAAAGAAAAGAGAAAGTGTGTGTGTGTATGAGAGAGAGAGAGAGAGAGAGAGAGAGAGAGAGAGAGAGAGAGAATCGCCATCGCGTGTTAAAGATCTTAGAGATAAGCTATTCCTCCTCTCTCTTGGATATTCGAATTAGCATCGCTCTCGACGATAGGTAGGTGTCGTTGGCTATACATCGTGTTACCTATGCTCTCTCCTAGCCAAGCTTTTACCGAAGAATAATTAAGGCGAAGGCTGTAGTGCATAGCACGCGTAACTCGTTACTCAGATAACGGCAACGGTTTCGAGCTTATCGTGACACCCTCTCTCTCTCTCTCTCTTTCTCTCTCTCTCACTCTCTCTCTCTCTCTTACTCTCTCTCTCTCTCTCTCTCTCTCTCTCTCTCTCTCTCTCTCTCGTCGAGACCTATGTTCTTCCTTTCTACTTTCAACGAATAAAAAGAAGACGAAGAAGTAGTAGTAGTAGTTGCAGTAGTGGTAGTAGTAGTAGAAGTACGTTTTTACAAGATTACTTTTTTGCTGCTTTCGTGAGGAAACGACATAGCGTTGGATGGAAAACGACGGATGGAGAAGCATAGACGAAGTAACGAACTTCGTGGCAGAAGTTACTATCTGAACGAAGAAGACGTTACGGAATTTCTGAACAGGCAGTTCAATGGACAAGAAGCTTCTCTTTCACACTGTCTAGTTCACTAGGTAGAACGTTGTTCTGGTCTCCATCGAGAGACCGCGATCTCTTACTCCATGAGGAGAGAAAGAGAGTAAGAAGAAACTGAGACTGGAATGTCACTTCATGGAAGAAGTTTCTTTTCAAAAAGAAAGGGAAAGAAAAAAAAAAGAGAAAGAGAGAGAAAGAGAAATGAGAAAAGAAAGTTAAAGAGAGAGAGAGAGAGAGAGAGAGAGAGAGAGAGAGAGAGAGGAGGAAAGAAAAGAAGAAGAATGTTCATGCAGCGGATAATGGTAACTCGTATCATTTCAAATTTATTTTTTTTTATTCATTTTCATATTTTTCTTAAACCATTAAAATATTTTAAACCTTTCGTAATTATTAATATTCAATAATTTAACATATAAAAGTATCAACTTTGACGTTATCAATGATAAAAATTTCGTCTAAGTAAATATATAATTGGCTTGTTCTCTTTTTCTTTTTTTTGGAAATACAGAAAGAAAAATTAAATTCTATCGGTAAATAATTTTTATTATTATTTAATATTAAATGAAAATAATGGAGTGGATATGATCATACAAATGACATATTTATGTATGTACGTACGATTATGACAAATTAATTAAATCATATTTTATAAATGTCATATTAGTTCTCTCATATTTTTAAGATAAATCTCTCTCTCTCTCTCTATCTCTCTCTCTCTCAACCAAAAGTTTTAAAAGAATAATCTGTCTTAACTGTAAGCTGCAATGTTACTTAGTGAACATAAATCGTTCGTCGTTGATAATAAATTGATGCAACTTATTCCGACTAAAAATATATCATAGAAAGGATTAATTTATTTATTACTTAAATAGTTAATGAATCAAATGAGTATTGATTTTTAATTTAATATTTTTAAACCTCATTATTGTACCAAAATGTAAGGATATTCTGTTTCTTTTCTCTCTCTCTCTCTCTCTCTCTCTCTCTGTTCCTCTCTTTCTTTCATTTTAAATAATTAATAAGGTTGGATCTTAGCAAAGAATTGGATGCATAAAATTTTAAAGCTCCAGCCGACATCGTAGCATTTCATTCTTCCGTAACGACGATCTTTTCCACGTTTTTTCTCTCTTTGTCTCTCTCTCTCTCTCTCTCTCTCTCTCTCTCTCTCTCTCTCTTCTACCTTTTAACTGGCCGATAAAAACACACGACAGCATGGGAAAACGCGCGACAGTTTGTAGTAACGGCCAGCGACGTATTTTTTTTTCTGTTTTCTTTTTTTTTTTCCTTTTTTTTCTTTTTTTTTCCCTACCCGTCTGAAGAGCCACGATGGCGATATGAGCTACCGTCGAAAATAAAGATTGTTCTTGATTGCCTAGCGTTATCGTTGGCATTGTCGTTACCGTTACCGTTATTGTACCCGAATTACACGTACACACGTCGAAATTCCATTAATGGCTGTTACGAGTGCACGGCCTATCTGTGCATTTAAACATTTCCCCTCCTTTTTTTTTTTTTGATCTTTTTTGTGTCTGCCCCTATCCCCCTTTCTCCCTCCTCTCCCTCTCTCTCTCTCTCTCTCTCTCTCTTTTTCATTCGCAAACCTTTCGTCCCATTTATGGTAAATATTATCAAATCCTTTATGGTAATATATTATCAAAAGGTCTCTGTCTATTGTTCAATTTAATGTAGAAATTATTCGAAATAATGTATCTTTCTTCTATCTTTTGTCCCTTTCGTGTGTGTGTGTGTGCGTGTGCGTTTTTTTTTTTTTTTTTTTATTCTTTTTAAATAGGTACAATCAAAGTTCTCGACACGATCAAAATAATATAAAGGAAAATGAACGATCGATTCTATCTTTTGCACGCAGTCACCGGTAATCTATTTTCACGTATCGATGTTGGATACATCAAATTGTCTAGCCCGTTCCTAGAGTAATTACCAGAGAGATTAAAATGGGTACTGGAAGTGCTGGTTCGATCGAGGATCGAACGCAATTATAACGAGAGAGAGAGAGAGAGAGGGAGAGAGAGAGAGGAGAGAGAGAGAGAGAACAAGATGAATAGAGAGGTAGGAGGTGATGGTGGGTCACATACACACACACACATATACATACATACATACATATATATATATATATATATACATATACGAGTCATTGCCGTCAAGCACGGTAGGGGGATGAAAAATGGTTTGATAGATACTTCAGCTACGAACAATGGGGTAATGCCATCCAGTATCCGGGTCACGCGCGTGTAGCTTCGCGAGAACATGACGGCGACACGCGCTCGTCAACTCGCTTGCTCGCTCGCTCGCTCGCTCGCTCGGTCGGTCGCTCGCTCGTTCGCTCACTCGCTCGATCCATTGCCATCGCAATCACCATCGTCTCATCGTCGTCATAGCCGAACATCGATAAAATTTACACTTTACGAACGTGGAGGAGATTCTTCTCTTTTCTTCTTACGACAATAGGGAACGGTATTATGATTAATCGAGTGGCAAACATGTGACAAGCTCTTATATATATATATATATATATATATGTATATATCTTATATGAAAGAAAAGAAAAGTAAGAGAAGAGAAGAGAAAAGAGAGAGAGAGAGAAAGAAAAAGAAAAAGAAAAAGAAAAAGAAAAGATAAGGGGAGAAAAAAGACCGAAGGAAAAAAGAAAAAAGCAAAAGTAAACGAAGAATGAATTTGAGAATTTTGTTTTTTTTTTTCTTCTCTATCTTCTCTTTTTCTTTTTTTTCTCCCCCTCCTCGCCCCCACCCCCCCCCCCCACCCATCCCCCGCCTCCCTCCTCGCCATCCGCCATCCGTCAGAAAAATTTCGCAAATTTTTGCTCACGAAAACTTTCACGATTCTCTATGATAAGAATTTA